CCTTTTCCCGGCCCCAATCCCCACCCCCATCCTCTGGCCGCCCCCGCCGGCTGCCGAGGGTTCGGGCATCTGCTCCGCAGGGAAGGAAGAAAGCAGCAGGCGGTGGGACGTGGGGTTTTATTTCATTTTATCCAAGTACCTTTGAAAAGATCATTGTACAAGTCAGCACATGAGTATGCAGAGGAGACGGCGCAGGGGCCGCGTGGCCACTGTACATATTTACAGGGGACCACCTGAGAAAAAAAAAAGGGGGAGACAGAAATCCCGGGCATGTTAACAACCTCACCAGACACAACACCATCAGAACTTAAAAAAAAAAGGAGGAAAAACGCTCATAACGCTGTTCCTGGGCTGAAAATGATTGCGGATTTTTGCTGGATTTCATGTAGTGTATAGGCAAGTCACAGAACCATGTTTTAAAGGCACTCGGTGACATATACAACAGGCTGTGTGGCATCCCGGTGCGGTGCCATGGGGTCCCCGGCAGCTCCAACGTGTTGCCGCAGCCAAGAGCAGCACCGGGCCGATGTGGAAACCCCCGGGCTTTGGGGGCCGCCCCGGTTTCCGCGGGCAGGCGAGGGCTGGTCTCCGAAGGAGCCAGTGGAGAGCCACGGCCACGATGGAGCGGGGCAGGGCCCCGGCTGGCAGGGCTGAGGTCAGGGTGAGGGGAGCACCAGCGCAGCCCCCAGCTTTCTTGCGGCCGAGTAAGCCCGGGAGTCTTCCCAGCGTGCCGGCTGCCTCGCTGGGCAACCTTGGCCCTACATGAGCCACACTAACTGGCACCAACGTCCTGCCTTGCTCTCGGCAGCGGGCTGCAGTGCCCTCCCGCTGCCTCCCCAGAGACACAGAAGCCGACAAAAGACATTTTATGTCCTCAGATTTAGTGTCTCATCTGTTCCCTCCCCTACATTTCTCCTAAAAAGAGTCCCCTGACCAAAGCCGGAGCTCAGCACAGGGGGCTTGGGCATGTCTGCGCTGGGCACATCTGCACGGGGCACTTGGGTGCTGTCCCTCCGCTGCAGTACCCTCCGGGGAGGCGAAGCGAACCCTTCTCCAGGGGCAGGGGGTACACAGAGGGGGGGACAAGCACATGGGATGCCAGCGCCCAGTCTGCCTCCCCAGCTCCGAGCTGATCCTCGCACCACGGGAAGCTCGCCGCCCCAAGAGCTGGCACCGACACGTCTACCCCTTGGGGATTTACTCGGTCGCAAGAAAGCTCAGGAGGAAAAAAAACCAAAACCAACCATCCTACCATGGTCCAGCAGCTGAGACTGCCAGGGAGGCGAGAGATTGACTCGTTCCAAATGGCTCAGTATTCTTCAGAGATGAGCTGGGACCACGGCCCCTCCGGAGCGGGGCCGCCCCTTCCACGCCGACTCAGGGGAGAGAGGCTCTGCCCCGGCGGCGCTCTGAAGCCATCCGTGCCGGGGGGGCCGGGGCAGGGTGCCGTGAAAGCGAGGAGCAGACGGAGTCTGGCGGATGGCTGTACACTTTGGGTGAGTTCTGCAGTACCTGTATGTTTTACATTTACATAAGAGCACTGTGACATTGGAAATATTTTCCTTTTATTACAATATATCAAAAATATGCAGCTTTAGTAAACAAGGTCATATTACACTTTCTAATGCACTGTACAATGCTACATTACACTTATATTCGTTATGGAGAGGGAGCCTGGGCTCCCACTGGCAGGTTTGTGGGGTGAAACGGCGTCCACCGGCAACCCGGAGCTCGCCCAGGTCCGTGCCGGAGCAGGCTGCCTCCCTCCGCCCTGGGCTTGCCCGGCACCTGTGGCAGTAGCACCACCAGCATCCGCCCAGGCCTTCTCCTCCGGTCCCAGAGTCTTTCACAGTCCTGTCCTCACGCCTCGGCAGCCCTGGAGCTTAGTCGATCTTTTCCACCTTCCCGATGATCTTCTCTTCAAAGATGGGCAGGATGGTGTCATCCTCCCGCACCTCCTCGAAGACCACACCACAGTCGAACTCGTCACTCACCTTCTTAAAGTAATACCTGAAAAACCAGAAACACGGGGGCAGAGAGGAGAAAAAGCAGGTGAATGGTTATGAGGGCACCACGGTCCTCAAACCCAGGTACAACCCTTCCATGCCCCTGAGCTTGTGGTGGATGGGGAGCAGCTCCCCCAGATATGGAGGCAACTGGGGCCACATTTCTGTCCCTGTCCTCACCCAGTGAGCAAAGAAAGAGCGGTCAGGATCTGTGCTCGCATGTTCAGCAGCTCCAGCCCTGAATTCAAGCCCAGTTCTCTCAAAAGCGGTGGCTGGAGGCACCCATGTTGGTGGAGCATTTCTAGGCAGGCTTTCCCATGGCAGCTCCTTCTTGGAAGGGGGGGAACTTGGAGAGCTACACACCCCACGCCTGGCTGCTTTGGGACTCCAGCAGGACCCAACCTCCCTGTCCTCACTGGAGGAAACTTTGGGAGCAGCCAAAATGGCTCCAGCAATTGGAAGATTTCCCATAGCATCACTGAGCGCCGGCTGATGCTGCTCCTCACAGCCCAGGGCCCCACAGGGCAGCTCAGCAGCTTTTGTTGAAGGTGTAAAGCATGATGCAGGACATTTCTGCTACTGCACCCAATCTCCTTCATCCCTGTAACCCGCCTCTTCAACAGCCAAGGCGCCTTGGCCGTGCTGCCACATCCCCACCGCAGCATGCCCTGCGGGAGCTCTCCTGGAAGGCTCCAGGAGCCCCTCCTGACCTACCTCCACCATGCTCCTTCACCTGGGAGGGGGCAACACTGTTGCACCCTGGCAGCAGCATCTGCCAGGCATCACTGACAGTCTGCTGGCACCATACCGCACGCGGGGAGCAGCCCTTACCTGTAGTTCCCTTTCTTGGTCAGCAGCTCCTTGAACTGTCCCAGTGTCACCACGCGCCCTTTGACGAGGGTGCGGTAAGGGATCGGCTCTCCGCAGAAGTAGTAAGCGACCACGATGTTTTCACACGGCTGGGACGCGCCGCTGCCTGGTCTCTTCTGGGGCTTCAACCTGCCATGCGAAAATACAAGCGACTTGCTGAATATCAGCCCACTTGCCAGCGTGGGCAGGCCTGAGAGCCCGTATCTGCAGAGCCTGGATGGAGATGCTGAATTAACACCCAGGGCCCTCGGGAACATCCTTAGCTCCAACCACCAGCTCTCTTGGCACCCAGCTACACACCAAAGCCAATGAAGGAGCCAACGGCACTTGGAAAGGCTGGATGGGCCCAGACGGCAGCTACAAGGAGGGCACAGGTCCTAGCTCAGCCCCTTTGTGCTGAAGAAACCCATCCCTGGGCTTTGGGAGGGGACGGCCCTTCCCGCAGCACCACCAGGTTGGGAAGTCATCAGTAAGCTCCGGGCGAGGCAGAACATCCCAAGCCCATGGCAGCAGACCCGGACCACCATCAGCACCCTCCTGGTGCCCTGCGTGCTCACTGTGCTAGATGCGTGCTTGGGGACGGTAACGCAAACACCGCTCAGATTGCTCTGGATTATTGCTGCCGTGGCCAAAATAGCTCAGCACGGCTTTCTGCTGACCTACATCCGCAGGGCTGTGCAGACAGGACCGCTCCTGCTCCCCGCAGCTCTCCTGGGTACCTCTCCCAACGTAGATGGAGGTCGGAGGGCATGGAGCTCCCAGCGGGACATGCCCCGGAGGCTTCGCTGCCCATCTCATCTGCACAGGGTGGCAAGGCAGCCGCCATCCCCCAAACCTCAGTGGCTTGAAATGTCCTACGTTTTCCTGACTCTGAGGATGTTGGTCTGCTCTCTGCTTCCAGCCCACACACCGGGGTTCTGCTCCGTGGTGCCATCACTAGACCAAAAGTGTCAGCTCAGTCCTAACCCCGTTTTCAGAGGTAGACAGAAGTAGCAATAATAAAAATCAGGGTACTTTGCCCTTCTGTAGAGCCTTTCATCTGGGGTGCCGTAAATGTTGCACAAACATTGCAGCAGCCTACACAAATTGGTAACTTGGCATGTGTGGTCTAAGCCAGAGGCAGCCTTCTCTTTCAAAGTCCCATAAAACAAATTTGGCAGCTTAAAAAAAATTATTTAAAAAGCACGCTGGATAAAAAAGATGATTTTGTATTTACATGACTGGAAAGTTGCTATAAAAAACAGAACTTGCCAAGCACATGAGGTAATCGCAGTTTTGGAAATGACTCTGACCCTAACCTTTAAACGTTGGCTCGTGGGCAGAGCACCTTTTTCATGGCATGCCCACATAAACATCGGCGCTGCAAACCAAGACTAAACACGATCCTTTTAACTCTTTCTAAAGGCATGAGAGGTCTAAAGTTCAACTGAACAACCCTCCTGGTGCCTGCTCTGCCTGGGAGACCTTTGGAGAAGACGCAGCATCCCGACAGGCAAGGGTCTACTCCTGGTGCCAGCAGAGCCCTCGGAGCCTCTCCCATTGCCCTGTCAAAGCACAGGATGCCCTTTAGCTAGAAAAACATTAAGGAACTGAATCATCCTTAGGGGGGAAAAAAAAAAAAGAGGCATTTAAAGGAAAAATGGGTCATAAATTCAGGCAAATTCTGTGAACCCTGTGAGCAGAAGTTAATTGAAGGGGTTTGGAAAACCTCAAAGTCCCTAAGCTTCTCTTAATCCTGCTAGAAACAAGTCGTGACTAGGAGAGAGCTGCTGCCTGCCCAGGGACCTGGCGCCCGGGGACCTGGGGACACAGCTACGTGCCCCGCACAGGCAGCAAAGCCGGTTCCCCCGGGGCTGCCATTCTCCTTCGCCTGGGGAGATGGAGAGGACCCTCGCCAGAGCTCTGCCACGGTAGAAGCAAGAGGGGGACCATGCCGGTGGCTGGGAGCTTTCCTCCTCCTGCCGCGTAATTCCTCTCTGAAAGGCCGTTTCTGAACGTGCTCAGCCTAGCTCCAGCGCTCACCTTTTCCCAGAGCAGAGATGTGCCCGAAAACGATGCCTGAAACGATGCCTGAAAGCAGAAACTCTGCACTGCTTCACAGAACTAGAGTTAAAAACAACCCCCTCGGTTTTGGATCCCCTGCTTTTGCCATAAATCAAAGCAGGGGTGTGGATGGCTGCGGTGCCTCCGAGCTCCTGGGGCTGAACAGGGCCGTGCAGCGGGACCAGCCACCCGGGAGCAGGATATACACGCACCCTGAACCGCAGCCACTGACCTCCAGCAGGCTGAAGGAGGGCTGATGAATAAGGAATCACTGAAAATGTAATTTTCCAAGAGTTTCTCTCAGGAGAGCAAGACAACACAACTGTCTCCGCTTTCGTCATCACCAAGAGATCTCCTGAGACCACAGCTTATCCAAACAGGCCACCAGACCGTGTCTGAGCTCTGCCTCATTAAAGCTTCCACCTGCACCCATCTCCTGGGTGGCAGTGTGACCCAGAAACACAGCCAGGTACCACCACCCTGCCCCTTCTGGGATCAGCTCCCTTCGCTGCATTCGTCACAAGCCCAAAATGTCATCTGGTAAGGAAACGGCAGCACTCATCTGACTTAATTGCATCTGCGTTTCAGTCCTGATTTCTTACCCGTGTGACCCAGTGGTGCTGTAAGAGGGAAACGAAGTCTGGGTTACAGCACCAATCCAGCCGCGCTGCAAAGCAGAGACAAGGTGCCCAGCTCGCTCCAGCTCAGCCCTAGGGCTTTGGAAAGCCTGACACG